GGCCAGTGTAAACCCAAGACTCATCAACAATGTTGCCATAAACCATCCCTCCAAATCCTCCTTTTCGTAGTTCCCTACAAGGATTCATGTTCATTACGGGAAGGGCCATGTCAGAAGGCCACGGCCTGAAAATCCTCAACCATTCTTGGGGCTTCAACGCTGCGAATCAACGTGACTGTTGCCCTCATGGCGATCTCAAGTCGTGCCCAGACATTATCCGTAAGGGCTTCGCCCCCCTGGCGCCGGCCCCCCCTCTCTCTGAGAATGCGCTATGCAAGAGCTATGTCATGAGGCCTGGGCGCTGTCGTGAAGCAGTATCGGAACTTCATGCGAGGCGGACTCGTAATGAGCAAAACCAATTGATCACAAGAGGGGTTACCACACTTGGCGATTGGTAAGACGTCGTGGCCCTGCGGATCTGCGTGAGGGTGCCACCGAATTTCAGAAATGTTGCAAATCCCTTGTGTTCTTGGACCCTGACCCTACGGATCTGCGAGAGGTGCCAGCGAATTTCAGAAATGTGGCAATTCCGATGTGTTTTTGGAGCCTCACCCCGCCGATCTGCGTGATGGGTGCCACCGAATTTCAGACATATGGCACGTCCCCTCTGTTTTTGGACCCCGACCCTGCCGATCTGTAAATTTCAGGGATGTGGCACATCCCATGTGTTTTTGGATCCTGACCCCGCCGATCTGCGTGAGTGGTGCCACCGGATTTCAGAAATGTGGCACATCCCGTGTGTTTTTGACCTGACCCCGCCGACCTGCGTGAGCGGTGTCAATTTTTACTCACCCCAGCAATTCAGAGCACACGCTCAGGGCGTGCTAAACCTGCCCGTTTGGGCCTCCCCCCCTCGCGCGATCCATCAACAAGGAACAGTAAGCAGCAAGAAACAGAACTGCAACAGTGGAAACTGGAAGCTGCAACTGGTACAGTAAACTGGGAGCCTTAGGCCTACAGCCTGGTGGCCCCGCAAGGGGGCCGGCGGATTTCTGGATCGTTATAAAGTGTTAAGACGAATGTGCGCGGCGCTAAGACGAAGACCGCATTCTGAAAACGGACCGCTTTCCACTTGTGAAAGTGCTGCAAATTCAATCTTCAGGACCATACATGGTGAGGAAGTCTCCGGCGAAACGCCCGGCCCGCCATGCCGACCCGTCTCGGGGTGCGACAGGGGGGAGTTGTTTATAAGGAATAGGGATGGAGGAGGAGGATGAGGACGAGGAGGAGGAGGATGGGGAGGAGGAGGAGGAGGAGGCGTCAGGGGCAACGACAGGGGCGGGGATAGACTCAGGGAGGGCATCAAAGCTTATGGGCTCGAGGTTTGCGGGCATCCTCGTCGGCTCTCGGCGGCTCTCCGGGAGAAAAAAACCGTCGGAGACCACGGGCTGACGCAGTGCGGTCGAGTTTTCGAAAAGAGGGCAGCGGCCAACGTCGTTGTTGTCAAGCACGTCGGTTCAGGAACGCGGTCGCTGGGCTGTTCCGCGCGTACGTATTTAAACACAGAAAGATATGGATGGTGATGTGCGTGGACCCCCCCGCAGGGCTCATTTCGATTCCTCCGATTCGATTTGATTCGGGTTTATGGATTCCGATTCCGATTTGATTCGACTTCGGATTCCGATTTGGGATCCGATTCCTCAATTGAGGCCTACTAGCCTGTCGATGTCTACCGATTCGACTTTCCCCGACTCGCGGATCCGACTTATCGATTCGGTTTTGGGCTCTCTTGCCCCCGTTGGTATTGTCGGTTTCCCTATGTCTTGTCCTGTCTCCGCTGGCTGGCCGTGTTGGTCCCACGCTCTGTCTTTCTGCGGGAGGAGGAGGTAGGGAAGAGGGGTGAGCGAGGATGTCGGAGGCGTAGGGGGAGGACGAAGAGGAGGACCATCACATTCTCAGGGGGGGGAAGGCAGAGGGTTGGCCGACCCGACCCAACCCTCTACCTTCAGGGGTGACATCCGATCTCCCTCTCCCCTACCCGCCGACCAGCCGTGCTGCGCCTTCCTTGAGGCGCACGGCAGCAGGGAGGCAAGGAAATCGGGGGCCCCCATCCGAGGCCAGAGTATCTTCACTATCCTACCGTCTCCTTCGCTGACAGTCGATCTATCTCCATCGCCTGCGCCCCTGCCTAGAGGAGCTCGTGGCGGAATCTGCTATCCGAGACGGGATTTCTATCCAAAGCACAAACCCTACTACGGCCTAGAGGCTTATTCGGGAAAACGAACGAGGACCCCAAACAGTGCGAGCACACGGGCGGGCAAGGGGGCCCCAGGGGGGGCCCGCGGAGAGCCCGCCCAAGGCGCGGATATCTTCGCGCCCGCGCCGCACAGGGAGCCCCCTACAGCTTGCGGAGGCTGCTACGGTTACGAAAGCCTCCTTTCACAATAGGCCACATCTCCATGGCCCTGAAATCTACCTCCATGCCGTCCGAGTTGAACAACAATATCGTGATGATGCTCTTCCCAGGGTGCTGAAGGAACTGGTGAAATCTCTTGTCTAA